CGTTCCGGAACATCCCCGGCGGCCCGACGGTGGCCGGATCCGCGGCCGCAGTCCCTGTCAGAGCTACGCGCGCCACATGCGACATGTGGGGCCCGAGACGTGCCCGTGTAGGTTAGGGCGGGGCGGGAGGTCGTCGTGGGGGCGTGGATGCGCGGAGGCGGCGTGCGGGGACGCGCGGAGGGCGGTGGTGGTGTGTGGGAGGTGGGCGAGGGAGAGCTGAGGCGGCCGGCGGTGGTGGCGGGAGCAGCGGAGGCGACGGCGTCGGAGGGGGTGGGGGGGAGGGAAACGGCGGCGACTGTGGCGGAGACAGCGGCAGCGGCGGTGGCGAGGGCCTAGCCTGGGGGGGAGGGGGTGGGGGAGGGGATGAGGACGGTGAGGGCGGCTGGGGCAGCCGGGAAGGCAGCACAGGCGAGGCGCGGCGCACCTCAAACTCGAGCGAGTAGCGGGAATCTCACCCGCTGCTCCGGCGGGAGATTGCTCCCCCGCCAGCCCCTGGGTCACCCCGAGTGACCTCGCAGCCCACACCGCGAGGCGCTGCTGTCAGGGGGGTGTATCACCGCCGTATCCACCCCACACTGGCCGCCGAGGGGCCCGGCGGGCTGAGGCGCGCAAGGCGGCTTTTGCTCCCGCGGGGCGGCTCTATCCGTCTCAGCACGGCGTCCCGAGGTGTAGCCGTGTACCTGGCGGCAGGGCCATCACTCACGCGCCTACTCACGGCACGAGGGAAGGCGTGACGCGACCGCGAGAGGCGAGATGGGTGATGGCGAGACAGTCGTTTGGCCCATTTGATTGAGGCAGGAATGGTGGGCCGCAAACGATGAGGACGACGAGGCATCGCGCCTGCTTTGGACGCAAAGTCCAGACCCACTGGCCTGAGGGGAGGGGCCTGGAATCCTGCCAGCACCTCCGCGCCGAAAAGCGTGATTGAGGATTTTCTGACGCCAGCCGCCGCCGGGCGCCGAACGTCACTTAAGGGAGCCATCGCAGCTCGGCGGCGCGTTGGGGAGCCGAGCGGCTCCCAGCGATCCCGCGAGACAACGGCCCGCATCCGTCACGGATGCCGCGCCCACGCTGCGCGGCGCAAGCGCCATATGGGGGAAGCAGCTGGTCCGCCGTTTTCTGCACTCGAGTCTCGAGTACTTCGAGGCGCAGAGAACTCTGGTCTCTGCTGGAATTTAGTGGGTTGGCGAGAAGGGGGGGAGAGCCCAATGTGACCCTTGTCAGACCCCTCAGGGAGCCCACCCTCCCCACCCATGAACTCATGTCTCCGCATCAGGATCAGCCGCCGCGTGTCCTTCTATCCAGGCGACGGTCGACGCCTCGAGAGATTCTACTCGACTCTACCCGAGCGCCGCTCCTCGCACCAGGGTGACGCACTGGCCCGGGCAAACGAGCTCCGCGGCAGCCACGACCGGCCCGCCAATGCTGCCCGCGGGGAAGCCGGCGCCGAACGCGACGCCATTCTTGAAGAATCGCAAGGAGCCGTCGCCAGTGTCGAGTCGGACGCCCACTCGGTCACCGATGACGAACGCCCTCGTGCCCTGCGAGTCGGCGCTCTCCAGGCCGCCGCCCCAGAGGCCGCCGTCGTTGGCGCGGATGTACCAGCCGTCGCCACGCTTGCTGTAGCCACCCTTCTCGACGTCAAGATTTTCGCGTGCGACTCCGATGTAGAGCGCGAGCGATTGATTCGCAGTCGCGCCGGCCGTGAGCGTCACCTCCCATTCGTGCACGCCTGCCGCCATCGTCTCCTCCGTGGTCGCGAGGCGGTTATAGTTTCCGCCACGCGTCTTGGTAAGGACGTCGCCCGCAATCTCGCAGGTGGAGCCCGCGCGGGCCCAGGTTGCCATGGGATATCTTTTCCCGCTGATCCAACTCGTGACGCTGTTCACAGCCTTGTTATTGAGAAGAAAATCCCGCTGTGCGCTGGTCTGTGAGAGGTTGAGGTGCGAGCCCTGGAGGCCCTGGGAATGGGGGGAGACTACCCGCGGGCCTAGAAGGCCCGCGCGCAGGGGGGTGGGGCATTGAGACCGGTTCACACAAAAACACAACCCCGCTGTTCACAAGACCCGGACCCAAGACGCACAAGTACGACAGTCGAGAAGGGCGAGACCGCAACGATAAGTCAGAGGTCAGCGCTGGGAATCCTAGGCAGGATGCAGGATGCAGGATGGAGGAAGGCGCGGCGAATGGGGGGGGGAGAGAGATTTTTAGAAGCCAACAAGAAATGTGGCACACACAGTGATTTGGGCTCGGCAGCTTGAGAGCTTGTCGACTACCAGCCCCCAGCCGAAGCCGGAGTCGGAACCGTAGGCGTAGCCGAGATCTTCTTCTTGGGAGAGATTTTTAGCAATACCAAACAACTCTAACACTCACACGTCATTTGGGGCCTGGAGCCCCTGCACAATGATGTTTATGGTGGTTTAAAGTTTGCGGGGGGGGGGGGGGGACAGCTTTGCGCGGTCGAATTCAATTTTGGGCCCTGCACATCGCAGTTTATGGGGGTTTAAAGTTTGCCGGGGGGGGGGGGGGGGGGGACACCTTTTGGGGGGCCAAATTAATTTTGGGGGGTTTTCCACAGTTTTGGGGGACCCCCCCCACCCCCCACAATTGTGGCCCCCCTGCGCCCATAAAAAGGGCCCCCCCACGGGCCCTGTTTCCCCCCCCCGAAAAAGTGCAAAAAGGGTTTCCCGGGGAAAACCAAAGGGCGGGTTCCCCCCCCCCCTTTTTTTTTTGGAATGGGGGGGGAAGGGAGAAAC